GAAGTCTGGAAGCTGGTCCCAAGGGCTCCATCCAGAGCCTGCTCCTCCGGGCCTTCCACCGATTGTGCAAGCACCCTAACCCGTGTTAAAGCCCGTTCTGCTAACGTTGCCAAGAGCGCTTTCTGTTTGCTGTAGCTGAGTCCTGACTGATACACGATTGTTAATGTGCCATTTTGTGATCTGTAAATAACTCACAAAGATCAGCTGTGATTTCTATTAATATCATGCCATTATTGCTGCCCGCATTAAACTCTAAGACTCACAAAGAGGGAGAGGTAAAACAAAATTCTTTTTGTTCTTCTCCCCAACCAGAGCCCCCAGGCCATGAGGCCAAGGGTGGCAGAACCTGTGACCAGTTGCCTGTCCTACCCGCCCCCCCCCCCCCGCCAGCCCCCCAGTCTGACAGCAAAGAGCAAAGAGACCAGAACGCCTGTGGGGGAGGAAAATGAGAGAGAGATGAGGAAAGACTGCACGGAGGGGTGGAAAACGCGGTTGGGGGTGGGGAGAAGAGAGTGCCCAGAGCTCTTCTAAGAGAAGTTAACAGAGGCTCGGAACCAGCAGAATGAAAAAGAACGGGGAACAGCTTTCTCTCTTTAGACCTCGACAGAGCTCACTCCCTGAAAGGTAGGAGTGTGCTTTTATACCTGCAAACCCTCTGAGGTCCTTATCTGGCATCCTTCATGAGCTGATTTGTCCTGCCATCCAGGGCACATTGGTGATGATGATGATGATAATGATGATGATAATGTTGCTGTTGTAATGATAAAAGAGGATAACTACCACCATTTATTGAGTACTTAGTATGTGCCAGGTAAGTAAACTCCATGAATCACTGCATTTAATACTCTTAGAGATGGGTTCATTTATCATTCCTATTTTACAGATGAAGCACAGAATGGCCAAAAAAGTTGCTGAGGATTACACTGATTTAAGTGGCAGAGCCGGGACTCTGTGCCACTGGACTCTCCAGGTCATCCTCTTAATCACCCCATTTGTACTGCTTGCTTCTGAACATCAAGGGTACAAGAAAAAAATTGGGAGGAAGCAGGGGCAAGTGTGAGCCAGGATCCCCAGACAAAAGAAGACCTGGGCTCCATTTACGGCAAGTGGCTCATCCCCATAGGTGGTCTCCATAGCAACGACAGCACAGAGTATGCAGTTCAACAGCCTTGGGAGAAGACCTGAGTGGGAAGAATTGGTTGCTCTTATTTGAAAGCAGAACTGCCCCGGATTCCAGGTAAGACTATTGCTAAAGAACAGAATGATTCCATCCTCCTCCCATGCCTCAGCAAACCTGGCAGGGAACCGTGAGAATGAGCCAGTTCTGGGTGATGAATCCAGAGGAGAGAGCTGCAGAGCCTGAGCAGCGGGTTTGCGACTTCACTGGGTTTTCTGGAACACTGGGGGCTCTCGGGTGGTCTGTGGCACAGCCCAAGAATCAGTACTTACAGCTTCCTCGGTGATTCTGATATAATAATGATTTCTCTGCCTTTTAGTTCTCCCCATGTTTATTTCTCCCTGGGTATTAGAACCTATCCATTTAAAAGAATGTCCCTTCCTATCTAAGCTTACTTTTTCAAAGCTCTGAACAAGCCCTCAAAAATTCTAATTTTTTAAATAATGACCTTAAACTACAGGATTAAAAACACTTCAGTTTGAAATGGCTCTTATCATTTAATGTAATTTTTTGCGACAACAGTCTAACTTTGTTTTCCTAACAGCTTTATCCTTCTGGACACTTCTCCTCCCTGGCTTCAGGGATGCTAGCCTCCCCTTCCCTGCCTGTGCAGTGGCACTCCTTACCACGGCTCTTGTCGCTTCTTCAGACTTGGTTTTCTTAGGGGCTCAGTCATGGGGACCTGGTGTGGCCGAGCGAACAGGGGCTTTTACAGTCAGACTGTGTTCAAGTCCTCGCTCATCGCTTACTACAATTTGCTTTAGTTCTGATTTTCAGTTCCCTCATCTATGAAATGGGAAGGGATAAGAATAGTGCCTACCTCACGGGGTTATTACCAGGAGGAAATGAGAGAACATACGCAAATCACCCAGCACCTGCCTGACCCGCACTGGCCCTCAGTTACCGTAGATGAATTTCTACCCTTGTGACCTTAGCTACGACCCGTGCATTCTGCATATAACGCTGGCCCTTTACCTTACTCCAGCGTCTAAAGGAAAGCCCATTTAAATTCATACTCAGGGGTTGCACAGCTGCTTCAACTGCAACGCGCCTCAACCCCGTGCAACATCACTGCCTGCCCCAACCTTTCTGATGTCCCTTTCCCAGTGAGTGACACCAGCACTGTCCTGGTCACTGAGGCACCTTTTTGCCTCAGCTCTCCTTCTAATTCTTACACCAAGTAAGTGCTGTCCAAAAAAAAAAAAAAAAGAAAAAAGGAAGATTGACTTGGAGTTGGACTAGCCACACTTCAAGTGTTCTATTGTCACTTCTAGTGACTCCCTGCCACGGTGCAACCTGAGACCCTGGCACTTTCCAAATTCTCTTCGTTCTTACTTTGACGTCCTCCATTGTTATTTCCCCCATTCTCCTGGCTTGTATTTTACCTAGGTATTGGCTCCCAGCACCTCAGGTGACAGCCACTATGTCAGCCTCAGAACAGAACCCATGCCCCTCACCTTCTCCGATCTATCTCTCCTGACCACTCTGCTTAGACACAGCACCACTTTCAGCTTATTTTCCTGTCTCAAAAAAATGGATTCCCCCAGGACGCCCCCCCAAAGGGCTCAGCTTTGCAGTCAAAACCACCACCAACATTTCTGCCAGCGTAATTAAAATTCTACTCATAAAGGCCACGTGTCACGCTACATGGCACGCACTGCATGCCGGCCACCAGGCTATGTGCCGATCTCTGCCCAGACGTCATCCTACCGAACCCTCACGCTGCCTCTCTGAGGGAGGTTCTATCCTCACCCCCATCACAAACGAACACACTGCGGCACAGAGATGTTCAGGATGTGCCTAGTGTCAGACAGCAAGCTGCCTGGTTGAGGCGTGAGCCGAGGCGGTCTCATTCCGGACGCCTGGCCCCGAACCTCTATGCTCTGTCTGCGGCTGTAGTGTCAGGGGCTGTCACCCCATTCCCTGGCTTTGTGGGCTGCGTTTACAAGTCCCGCCTACAAGTGTCTGCCCTAGTTCTCTGTCTGCTTCTTCTGGCTATTTAAATTCTCTCTTCTTTTAGGCTTTCATTTTAATCTCTTCCAGGAAGGTCTCTCCAACTACTTTTGCTTATATGCACTATTCCCTTTTGAATTCCTTCTGTGGGCTTACAGCTCAGGGGTTGAAGACCTCTAAGGGGCTGGCCCATGCATGAAAGAGGCAGGGGGGTGGTTTGTGCACGAATTCCCTAAAATTGTATGCAAAATTCAGTGTGGGTGCCTATTTTATTCTTTCCAAAGTAATGATGATCAAGCTCTCAGAAGGATCCAAAACACCATTTATTTTGGTGCTTAACTGTATGTTATTTAATGCTTACTATTAACATTACTGACTGTGTGTGAATACTGTCTTCCCACTAACCTGTGGAAAGTTTAGCTCAATAGTAGTGGTATAACAATTGCATTAACTGTGTGCCAGCTGCTACATCAGGTACTCTCTACACATAGAGAATGTGTCACACTGTTCCTTTAACAGAATCTGCAACCGTGGAGGTTGAATTGATCACATCCTTTGAAGCTCAGGAAAATTAAATACTTGGCATAGACCAGACAGCTAGTAAGTGGTAGAAACAGGATTGAAACCCAGATCTCTCCTACTTCAAAGCCATGCCCTTAACCATACCATCTTCTCTCTCATTTTGACTACTGCAGAGAATGGGGCCTCCATAAATACTTGGGTTAGATTAGGACACTTGATGTAGCAACCAACACATCAGCCAGCTTGAACCTCTCACCCTAGGGTGTTCATGTACACAGTGTTTGTTTTCTTGGAAACAGGATACACCCTGCTCACCTTCCCACAAATATCCTGCAAATGCCGAGTGTTCCAAGCCAAAGGTTACCCACCTGCTTGGTTCCTTGCATAGCTCCCAGAAGCTGGGGTGGAGTCCCGTGCACTTGACTAAAGCCAGTGGCTGGTGCTATGAACTTTCACCTCCAGCATAGGCTGGCCACACGTGTGGCATCCAGCTTCCAAGGGCAGTGCTGCTTTGCCTACCATGCACCAAACAGGTTTTCCTCCAGGTGGAGGGGGGCCTAGCGGGGAGCAGCTCTCTGACGGTGACCTGCAGAGGTGCAGGAGCCTGCCCTTTCTATGGTATGTGGGCCCAGGACCCAGATATGCAGAGAGGCAGGTGTTTACAGTCCACACTGAGGCTGACCTTTACAAACAAGCTTGCCTCTCTACTACAGTGGCCAGAGTGACTGAGACGTGATTTGCTCCTACCTGTGTGGCTGACTTAAGATAGCTGGATGTCTGACTTGCTTATTGAAGAATGAATAAATAAGTGAATTGATGAATGCAACAACTATTTAAAATACTGAAAACAAAAGCTAACATATTCAGGGTGCTTTTTCTGTGTCAGGCACTATGTTAACAGTTTATATAAAGTTATTTTATTTCCTCTTCCTAACATCCCTGAAAAAATTCATTATTTCATTAACTAGTTTTGAAATTTTAAAAGAATATATGCATAAGGCAATAACTGTAAACAGTCCTAGAGGGTACAGACAAAAACTAACTGTCCTACTCTAGACTTCCTGACAGGCATCGCTGTTACTGGCTTCTCTCTTTCTGAAGATGCCCTGTGCATGTACAAACACGATTATTCATATATCTGTCTTAAAAAATACAACAAGAGCATGCTATATACACTGCTCTGTACTCTGTTTTTCTTATTTTAATTTACTTTACATTCTGGAGATCATGGTGAAGGTATTATTAACCCACTTTCCAAATAAGGAAACTGAAGCTCTCACGGGTACCCAGTGAGTCATGAGTAAGTGCTGGGGCTGAAGCCAGCCTGCGTGTGAGGAGAGGAGGTGTGGCTGGTCAGAGAAGCCGAAGACTAAAGTCCTGCCCTCAACGGGCTCATTGTTTTGGGGGGCACACAATGCTGTACGAAGTGAAAGAATGATTTCCGAAGAAGGTAAGAACAAATCCAAGACACACTTGCACTGCACCCTGAGGTTCTAAGCATTTGGGAAGGGACAAAGCAACTCTGTCTCAGGAGCTAGGGTAAGAGACGGAGTTCGAGCAGGCAGGGCAAAAGTCAATGCTGTACAGATAATGTTGAGTCAAACATACTGGAAGAATGTACTCCAAAATGTAACTACTGCTAGGTGGTAAGAATTTTAGGGGATGTATAGAGTTTTCATGCATTCCAACAGGTTTTAAATTTTTATTGTTTCCAGTCTTAATAACTATTACTTAATAGTGCTTACAACTGCTAAGCACTATTCTAAGAGTTTACAGATACTAAGTTATTTGATCCTCAAAATGATGCTACAAGATTGTTACTACTGTTTTTCCCACTTTAGGGTTAAAGGAAGGGAGGGTGGCAGAAGTTTAGAACACAGCCAAGGTCAGAGTGAAGGTAAGTGGAGGAGCCAGCACTCCGATCCCCGTAGCTGGGCTCCAGAGCCTATGCTCTTAACCACGTGGTACTTTTATGATGAAAAAGAAAACCCCCACTGATTGTTATCCATAAGACAAGGAGGAAGAGCAAGTTACTGGACACTTCATAGGGGAAAAGGAAGGCGAGAGAGCAAACACAGCTCACGTGACTTGGTGATGAGGGCTTCTCGGGAAGCTATGCGCTAGGGGTGAACACAGGATGAAGGACACGGAGGTCAAATGATAAGGGGGCTGAGGAGAAGAGAACTCTGACTTAAGGAAATTAGGTGGTGAGTATAGGGGAGTATTACAAGAATTGTGGCAGTGAGGTTACGACGAGGAATTGAACGGAAGTTTTAGGAGGTGGATTGTTTTAAGAGATGGCTGTCATCTGAGCATTTGCAAAAGCAGAGGAGTGCCGGTGAACTAGGGAGAGTGCAGGTGCTCACAGGCAGGCAGCAGGGCTCGGGACTGAGCGTGGCAATGAGGACAAGCAGGGGCTGAGAAAGGGAGACCCCGCAGACACACAGATGGAAAGGCAGGGGACCAGGGCACCAAGAAGCTCAGCCTGAAAGTCTAGAAGGTGCGGAAAACAGGGAAACCAACTCCCAATGCAACAGCACTGCGAATCTCTCAGACATCCTGCTGAGCAAAGAAAGCCCGTCCCCAAAGAGCACATGCTATCTAATCCCATTTACATAAAGTTCAAGACAAAACTAATCTGGGGCGACAGAAACTAGAAGACTGGAGTGAGTATGTAGGGAGACAGATGAAGCAAGAATGGCCACGAGTTAGTTTTGCTAATTGTTGAAACTGGATGACGGGTACATGGGATGACTTCTACTTTTTGTACGTTTGAAAATTTCAAGAATACAACGTTAAAAGTAAAATTCTATGATCCCAAACCCTTCAGTGCCTATAACACAATAATTATTAACACTATAAGATGAACTCCGTCATTAAAGAATGTAAGGTACGTTAATTATTATCTACCATTTCCTCCTCCGGATCTGGCAAGGATGGCCAATGTCCACAGTGCAGAGGAAGTAATTGCCTTTTGAGGAGGTACAGATGGGATTAAAACAACTAGGATTTGGCACTTTGCCCACTTTACACAGCGCTCAGGCCCTGGGTCACCGACGGCAACGTTTCAGTGGCCAGGAAGCATCTCTTCTTGAATGCACCACGGAAAATGAAAGGCCCGACATGGCCAGACACCTGTATCTTGGACACATCTAAAGATTACAAAATAATAAAAGATACCGCATTTTTCAGACCATAAGATGCACCTAGGTTTCAGAAAAGGAAAATAGGAAAAGAAATTTTGAAGCAAAAAATATGGTAAAATATTTAATAACATAAATAACATAATATTTCACACACGTGAATGTAAACAGAGCTCAGCTGAAGCATTAACAACCATTATTCCTCCCCAAATTGAGGGGGGGGTGCATCTTCTAGGCTGAAAAATACGGTACTTAATTTTTCTTTCTTTATCTCACCTTCTCCCAAGAAACATGCCCTTGCTGCTTTCAAACATGTCTGGACTTGGTAACTACTTTGAGGAAAAGCAATGTCTATTGAATTCCTGGGACAACCAGCAAAATGAACATAATAATACGCAGGCCCTCATGGTTAAAGTACTTGTTTTGAGCCTCGCAGCACCTAAAAGTTTATATATTTTCAAAGGGAAAGTACTGAAGATATACAAGGAATCCCCAAATTAGCTTCTTGTAGTTCTAACTCATTCTCTATGAAAATTGATTCGAATTCTCCCTCTAAAAGCAAGCTTGTTGACCAACTCCTCTTTAAAGTAAAAGTTACTTGGGGGGAAACGTGGAACAGGAGGCCAGGTCATTGCAGGTTCAAACCGCATCAGCAACATCAATGCAGTTTAAACAACCTGCATCCGAAAGGCGCCTTCCGCTTCACTCAGTTCATTGAGTTGTGTGAAATTTCAGAAAGTCTCCAGTTCATTTTAAAGAGTAATATAAAATTCCCCGGAAAGATGAATGAATTCAGATTCATTAATAGTTTTCTTTAAATGAGAGAACTTTTGTGAAAGGGTTGAGTCAAACACAACAAACTGTGACAGGCATCACTTAAAACGATAAGAAGGATGACACCAGTTTAAATACACAGCATGTTACGTACTACCAACAAGTTTGCTTCTTCTGCTTTTTTCTCTTAAGCTCAAGAGTTTCACTAAACAAAATCTTCAACCGAAATGCAGTGGGAAAGACGGCTGCCTGTGAGCCCCAAGAAAGAATTTCTATGACTACTCTTAGCCCCAGATTTTTTGGGCTAAAACGACCTCAAATATTCTGCTTCTTTTGGTGTACTAGTCACTTACCAGAAGAGGAGTCCCAAGAATTGGCTTTAAAACTACAGTCATCATACGTCTCTCACAAACGCTGACATCTCCTTTAAACCCGCCAGAGCCCTTCTCTAAGTCTAATCCTCTACCTGACGGTGGGCCCCCAGAGGCCAAGCACCCCGTATCACCTAGTTCTCTACCTCTTCCATATACGAGACACAGAGAACAAAGATCTGCTGACTTGATTTGTTATGAGTCACATGGACGACCTTGGCAGGAAGCAACAGATTCGCCATTTTTCCTCTTCATGCTTCAGGAAAGAGAAGGCAAGATATATTCCTTGCGCTGAACACAGAGCAGGAACTCAATGAACATCCAATGAAATGATGGCACAAGGATCTGAAGTATTTTAGGTGAGTGATATGGGCCTGAACCAATGTATGAAAATCAGAATCTATGAGACAAATGGGGATGGATCATGTCACATTACAAAAGAATTCCTTCAGATAATACTTTCCTAATGCACTGCCTATTGAGCAAAGAGGTTAAGTCAGAGAAACTCACTGTTTAGCTTTGATTCTGATTAAATATCCATTAGGAACCATAATAAAAATCCCTAAATTCTAACATAGCATCGTGCACAACTCTTTCTCCTATCTTCAGCACAGCTCTGCTGGCATTTCCGAAGTGCAATCCTAGTGTGTGCATTTTCCTCACTCCTGTGCTTACAGAGGGGAGGGTGACGCAAACTGTGGTTTTAGGCTACCTTCTCCCCTTGGTTTCAAAAGCAGCCTCTTTTCTGGCCTCTATCTTTGCTGGCACTTTCCCCTTGAATTAAGGATAGAGATAGTAAAGTCGAATTCTGATGCTGAAAGTTCTGGAATGGAAGAAGTACCCCAAGATGTCTCTACTGCTTAAATCTGCCTGTGCAGGTCAAGTACTCAAAGTAGAGAAAAAAGGGCTGCTTCCCAAGGAGAATCGTCAAAGGGAAACTTCCCAAGAATAATCACTTTAGGGATGGCACAGGGCATAACATATACTTTCGAGCAAATCCTAATAGCTAGCACAATGATATTAGTTACTTTTATTTATTTATGCATCTAACTGTGAAGGTAATTGTACTTTCTAACACTTAATGAGCCCAGAGATTAAACTCCTGGGAGAGATCACCAGAGACCAGCATTTACTTGCCTGTGACCAAATGTGAGTTTCAGAAGGTTGGAGTCAATCCTACCAAAAGTTTGTCCTTCGGATAGTTTCAGAAGTGCGTGAGATTCTTTGGAACACTTGTATGCACAATTTACATAAAAATAAATGACACCTGCTTATATTACACATCAACGTTACAAGACTGCCTTTAGTAGACTGAGTAAATAAATGCACACAAGTCTTATAAACAGCCAGTATCTGTCAGTGTCAACATGTATCAAGGAACAGTCCCCGCGACCACACAGTGCAGGATGCTGGCTCCTCCATTTAGAAATGGCACCAACCCCCAGCTCAATTCTGGGGCAACACACCTCGGTGTCACACGTGGATGCTGCCACTTCTGCCTTTGCCCAGTGTGGCCATCTGGCATTCTACATCTCCTGTGCTAAGTCTCATATGCTAATGCCATCAAAAGACTCATTTATAAAGTGCTTTCTTACATACCACCTGTATTTGACAGGGTCAATGAATTAATTGTATTTTAATTTCTACTGAAGTGTGAACATCTTAAATTTAACATGCAAATTTATAAAATCAATACATAAGATATTTTTGTGGAGAATTGGAAAAGTATCAGAATCCTCTTGTCTCATGAGACTTCTATTTCTTAGTAGCCTGTGGTGCTTATCTTCTTAATATTTAGTGTGTTTTTACTTTTAATATTTAGAGTAATTACACATGCTTCTTAAATGGAGGAAAGTATTGGGTTTCCTCTCTTAGAGACAACCCCCTTAATGACATTTTCTTAGTAGATTATACCTGAACTTAAGAGGTATATGAAGTGACCAGAAGTTGAATTCTAACAGGGCTGCCTTTCAGAATCCCCTGGGCAGCTCTCGTGATGCACCCAGGTCCAGACCTCACCCCCAGGCTTCCAGAATCAGATTACCAGGGGTCTGTCCTGGGAAAAGTGCATTCTGGAAAAGCTCCAGGTGATCTGAACATACACTCTGGGGAAAGAGCCACAGTCTTGAACACATCAGGACTGAGCAGGCACCACGCCCACGTCTCCCTGGCAGTTCTACATCTTCCCGATGGCTCTGCCTGCAGTAAGCTGGGGGTCCCAGGCAAGTCACTTCCCCTTTCTGAACCCTATCTTACACATCCTTAACAAAGGAGAACAATATAGGTGTTCTGTGCCTCTTCTTTGCTTCTCTCTCAGTGTGGTCTTCTGTCTCCTGCTCTTCAAAACAATTCAGACCCTTGGTTTAAGCTGTTAATATTTGCATATTGTCATAGTGATCAAGGCAGAACTTGTGTCATTAAAGTAAACCTGTAGGTGACACAAACATCTAGTAACCTGAAAGAATTATGAGCTGCTTCTGAAGCCCCGGAAGACTTTACAGTTGAGGCCCAGCCCAAATGGGCAGGACAGGGCAGCTTGCCTTAGCAAGTGGGTCCTGAAGCAGTCAAGTATACAGGACAAAGAAGAGTGTTCATGGTTGTTTAAAAATTAAGCTGGGCCCACAAACACAGTAAGCTCTCTTTCAGCCAGAATGTTCTGGAAAAAGATACTAGAAAAAACTGAAATGTCTGATTGAGTTACTGTGTGCAAGGGTACCCCACTGCCAGTTTTCAAAGACAACAGCACGACACGCACGTCAACTTGAACGTGACTGGTGGCTATTTCATAATTCCAGATGCAGGTGCATTTTTGTCGGGCACAGTCACCGCTGGGCGGTCCCATCCTCCTGATTCTGTGCTTGCTCTCTGGGCCCCGCCCTCCCCTGGGCCCGTCCTCATGCCTCCAACCATCCTGCTCTGGTCCCTGGGCTGACATCTGTCTGTCTCCATGCCCTCTGAGCTCAGCTGTTCTTGAAGGTTTTGCCAAGCACCGGTTTTTCCTCTCTGTCCTCCCTGTCGTGCACCCTCAAGGGCTTGCAGAGGACTCTGACATTTGTATGTGGCCCTGGACCTGTCTGTGGGACCCTCATCCAAACACCTTTCGTGCCCCTCCAACTCGGCAACAGTGGGGACCATCTTCCTTGACATGGAGGCCCTTCTCTGGGCTGGCTTCTCAAACTCTGTGCTAGTAAAACAACTTTTATTATAGTTATTGATACTTAAAACTTTAAAACTTTAGCTCTATTTCCGAGACCAGCCCCTTGTTCTCTGACATCCAAAGAGGTTGCGACCCATCCTACAGGTTCTACTGTCCCATCCAAAGCTTTCTCCCTGGTACCTTTGCCATCCACCTGTTGGTCAGCCCCTCCCCTTGATACGTGCTAGGAGATGACAGCAACAGCATTCATTTTTCTGGTATCCCTGTGCTCTCCCCCAGTGGCTGTCAACCCGTCACACTGCTGGCCACGGACCAGTGGTCCTAGATAATGACAAAAGCTCATTAAACAGGAGCAAGCCTGCTGTATCAGAGGGTGGCTGAGAATGAAGAACCTGGGGCACTCACTGACACAGCTTTCCCTCCTCTCCCCCGCGGCAGCCCCAAGGAGGATGCTGCAGAGGCCCAGGGCTCCTGGAAACAACCTGAAACCACTGCTCTGAGCCATCGCAGAAGCCACAGCCAGACACAGCTTCCGAAAATTCCTTTCTACTCAAATGCTGCTCCTCAAAAATCAACTGGTTGGTGGGAATGTAAATGCTGGCGGTATTCGCTGAGGCCGAACATACTGCCATTCTAGTCCTGGGTGTGTACCTGACAGAAATGTGTGTGCATGTTCACGAAAAGACATGCATTAGCATGTTCAGAGCAGCCCCGTTTATAACAGCCCAAAACAGAAACTGCCCAGTGACCCACACAGGATAACAACAAGTCACTCAGCGAAATACTCTACAGCAACGACAGTGAAGAAGCCTCAAATGCATGCAACACTGTGGATGACTCTCAGGGACATAAAGTGAGTAAAAGGAGCCAGAAGCGAGTTAAAAGAGGAGTACGTACCACAGGGAATCCATTAAGTACAAAGACGGGGGAAACTGACCTGTGCTGTCAGACACGGGGCCAGGGTTATTTTTGGAGAGGGAGGTGCCAAGGGGCACAGGGGGGATTTTCTCAGTGCTGGCTGCGTATGTGCATGTGGGCTTAGCTTGCAAAAGAAAAAAAAAATCATTACACTTCTGATTTGGGTAAGGTGCTGTATGATATTACACTTCAAAAAAAAAAGGTACAAAAAGAAAACAAAACCGTTGACTGCTCCCAATTAAATCAACTTACACTGTGGCCCAGAAGCGCTTTACAATGTGGCTGTAACATACCCTTTGGGCCTTCTCTCAACTATTTTGTTTGTTTGTTTGTTTGTTTTGGTGGATTCTTTATCCCTAAAGGGTCCAGGTACCCTCTGTGCGATGCAGTGAAATGCTGTGGGTGTGCACATTTTCTGGAAAGAGGGTCCACAGCACTAATTTAGGAGACCCCACAATCCAAAGGGGGTCAAGAAAAATTGTTCTGCTTCTAGGGACTGAAATGATTGCTGGAACTGACTCCTGACTTGCTCTATCATTTTCCCTGCAGAAAGCCCTGACCCCGCCCAACTTCCCCAGGTGACAGTCCAACCTTGTTTCCAAGTCAAGTCAGATGACCTGTTCCACCAAGTCCCTGCTGAACCTCCAACCAGAAACTAGTGCCTGCCTTCCTACCATAACTACTAGGGATGGGCTCTGATCCTCTCTGGTAGGCACTGAGCATGTGCAAATAAACAAATATTCAAGGTGCTTTAGATACAGTAGAGGGAAAACAGATGCATCCACAAATAACTTTAAGCAGAAAAGAAGCATCAGAAGAGAAAGAGAGGTTAGTCTGAGTGAAGTTTAGAGGAGAGAGTGATTCCTTTTGGCTTGGGGAGATCTGAGAAGGCTTCATGGAGGAGGTGGCACTGCACCACAGGATTTGTGGCTGGGAGGGTCGGGCATTCTAAGTGGAAGTACAAAGCCTAGTGCTGTGAAAGCCCTGGTGCTGCGTAGAGAACGGCAGGAAGTCAGGTGCACCTGGAGCAGAGACCATGAAGAGCTACAAGGGGTGGGGTGTGAGCTGGCACCACAGTGTTGGCTGGCAGCCTCAGAAGTTTGAATTTTTAGGCTGCAGACAACTGAGGGCCACTGAAAAATTTTAAGCAAGGAATGATGTGATCAGAAATGTGCCTTCTTGGGATATCAGATGGATACAGATAACCTGTTCCTCCTTTACGGGTCTAACACACACTGTTCCGTCTCTGTGGCACATAGCTGCCTCTTGTTTTGTACTGTGGTTATCTACCCGCACGCCCCACCGCCACTGGACGGACACTGACAAAAGACAAAAACAGCTTTGGTGCTAGCACACTGTCTTATGCATGGTGGGACTCAACAAATATTTACTTCAATGAAGGTACGATGTCCCCTTAAAATGGGTTCTGAGTAAATGGGGAGAGAGAGTGGGAAGGTGAGAAAGAAAAAACACGGAGTGTAACGTCAATGAGCTGGACCAGTTCAGGGGCTCCATTCAACCTTAAAACTCCAGGTCTCTGCCTAAATGTTCACAATGCTGAACAGCATCCAGAGGAAAAACTAGTCACAAAGGAGACCTGCGTTTAAAGTTACTTAAGGCCCTGTTACAGGAAGTGAACGTGAGGAGTGGTGTCCCAGCCTCTGTTCTCGGTCAACCTCTCAGTGCCAGGGGTGCCCTCAGGATAATGCGTCTGCTTATCAGAAAAGTCCAGTTAAATGCTTATTAGCAAAGTCCAGTTAAATGCTTATTAGCACCTAGAACACAAGACCGGGGAGTGCAGGCTCACTAGGGGCCCTGTTCCCTGGCTTCTGGTGGGACCTGGGAAGGTGGCGAAGAGATAGACTGTTCAATGTCTCAGACCCTCGGATTTCTTACCTACAAAGAGGGGATTTCTAGGACAGCAAGTACTTTGCTGCCAAGAAAAGGGCTCTGCCTCCACCCGAAACCGAAAGAGGAAAACACCGCACCAGGAGAGAAATCAGCCCAGGCATTGAGCGGAGGGCGCCCCCAGCTCGGTACCGCTGATAACAACGTCTGCTGGGCCGGTTTTTCTTTGTACATCACCACATTTTACCTTTTGAAACTCTTCCACTACTTTTATCACCCCTGAGAATCACTCTGTAATTAAATTACTTTGCATATCCGAGTATGAGAAAACGGAGGCAAACGGAAATTTGGCGACGCGTCCCAGGCCCCTCAGCGCTGGGAAAGAACCCCAGTTCCTGATTCAGACGAGCTTTTCCCACTGCACTTCTCACTCTCTGATCCCTTCCACCCTGGCGGGGCTCCAGGGTTTGGGGGGGTAGCTTTCACGGGAGCCAGGACTCCGCAGGGGTGACCCGGTGATAACAATTGTCCTCCCAACAGTTTTCCCACTTGTATTTGAGCTTAGGGTGGGCCCCTCCACTTGGTCAGAGCCTGGGTGATTAATGTGCTGTATCACGGCCAAGTGCAACACAGGCACAGCTGAACCCCTGAGGATCTGAGCAGCTTGGGTGGCTTCCCTGAGGGAAGTTCTGGGAAAGCAAAAGCAAAACTCTGCACCATTTGCAAGGGCACAGGATCCAAAGCCACACACCACTCCGTGGAGCTGAGCATGCACTGTGCTGACGGCGATAAGAACCGGCCCATTTTCTGGTCTGAATTTCCTTCCTGCTCTCTGCAAAGCGTCCAGGCCAGTCGGGAAACATGCAGTGCTGGCCACTGCTATTTAATTTAGCCCTGTTTTTGGAGCTAGTTCAGGGTTGTTAGCCTTTTATTATTTTCTTCTTTTTAAAAATAATAATAGGAATATGTTGAAAAATTCAAACTCTATGCATGTGAATAGAATAAAAACTCTTTCCTTCTGATTTCACTTGAAAGGGGTAACTCCTGTTTATACTCTTTTTCCTTCCTTCCACACCCTCTTCTGGCTTTCACAAACACACAACATACATGTATATATGTTTTTTTAAATAAACAGTATCATACTTACATACAGTTCTGCAAATTTCATTTTTCACCCAACAATAAACGTATCACAAGCAACTGACCTTACTATCATAGGTGATAGTGCATTTTTCTAATTTTAATTTTTCATCTTGAGGCATTTAAAATTTATAGAAAAAGCACAAAGGACAATATAAATGTATAGGATTCATTTTTAAAATTAGTAAATTCCCACAACTGCTCTCTTTCCCCCCATCATCCTGGGAGTCATGGCCTGACCAACCTCAGATGATGCAGGGAGAGGAGAAGCGAGACCACACAAGCGCTATCTGCCTGTTGCAGGACTTTCCAAGTGCTGGCTGAGGCTGACTGGGTGCTGAGACACCAGTAACTACAAGCTGAGCCTGCAGAATTGCAAGGCTCCTCACAGAGGGCCCACTCCCCGTTTGAGGAGCTGTTCTGGTTAGTGGCATGTGACAAGGTACAGAGGCAAGTCCAGTGAAAGTGCAATGCTTTGCAATTGTTTCCCCTTCTGGAAATCCAGGGGCCCGTGGCTTGCAAGGGCAGTTGCTTTGTTTAAACATAGGGAACCTGAGTTCCTTTCTCACCAGAATTTCTCTCTGCAGATTCTGCCTGGGCCACCCACAAGCAATGTGGCTAACCCTGATAGCTATCCTCTGTCCCAGGAGGAGTGCATGCTAATCCTGACTCAAGGGCAGAGACCCGAGCCCAGGTCTGAGCTGCTATCTGGACTAACCAGATGGTGAGAGACCGAGAGAAACCAGAGTAGCTACAGACAGCAAGCACCAAGGGCGAGAGCAGCAAGGGCAAGTGCAGGTCTCTGCCCTTGAGTCAGAAGGAAGGCAAGCTTCCTCTGCAATGTTTTCTGAACACCGTGAAACAGCATTTTGGGTGCAGTCAGACCCAAGAGGTAGCAAATGCTTTGATTCTGAGTACTTCTCCACGTGCACAACACTCTTCTATGTCCTTTATACACACTGACCAGTTCAGCCCTCACAATCATCCTGTGAGAGAATGCTAGTATATTTACCCGTTATACAGATGGGGAAAGTGAAGCAGAGAGAAGATTTAAATCCAGGTACTCTGGCTCCAAAGTGCACACACTTAACCCCCAGGCTACAAGCCTTCATGTGCTAATGCGGTGCTTCCCAAAATGCATTACAACTTAATAGGTACACATGGAAAAAAGGTTCCACGGCACATGTGAGTATATTTCGGAAAGCCCTAGTTCAAACAAAGATAAGCAGGCTTCTTTCATGCATGACTCTTCAAGGTCTTTCTACAATAAAATGCATTTATGGTCTGCAAGAGGCATATGGCTTATAGCATTTCCCCCTATTATTTGAACACAGCTATGTTTTCCCAGGAATAGTTTGTGAGAAGTGTTCTGCTGGCCACATTTTAAGTCAATGTGGGCAAAGGGGAACTGTTAGGAGCAGAGCTTAAGCTTTGGCTCTAGCCATTTAACTCACTTTGTGACTTTGGAAATTCCTGAAATTGAGCCTCAATCTCCTCATCTGCACAATGGGAATAACAGTAGACCCTACACCTTGTGGAGCTGCAGTGAGGATTAAATGCACATGTATGACTCTTAAAATAGTTCCTGGCTCTAAACATTTGAGCAATGGGAGATATTATAATGATTATCAATGATTATACGGAATAATCTAAGAACCAAGGAATCATGAAAACTCCTTAAAAAAAGCAGAGAATCCCCTAAAAATATTAACACTCTGGAATGATCTTTGCTAATGACAGTTCCTGTCAGAATAATATGAAAACTGTTTGCAAACAGACAATTCTAAAACACCACAGGATGTAGTATCATTACAAGGGACAGAGAAACAAGGGAAACATTTAAAAAAAACAGCTCAGAAAGTTTCTTTGACAAAGAGGGTTTTCTGATGCCATAATAGAAGCGGACCCAATTTCCTGAGCACTCAACCAAGCTTAGACTTCCTTCCCAAGGGATGGGTGCATGTGCTGGACCCACTGGGCTCAGGGACAGGAGGGAGCTCTGCAGGCTGACTGTTTTGTGGGGATAAATTCTCATAATTGGACTGAAAATGATTTGGCATTAACAAGATATCTTCCTGTTCCAATCTAGGGAGTGACTCACGCATCTGCCGCCTCTGTGGGAGAGCTGTGCAGGAGCTCTGACTCCACGGAACGCACCCCCCTTCTTGCCAGACATGGTAACCCCCCTCTTCCGGTCATGCAGGCCAAACATGTGACAGTTGACAAAAAAAACAACACCCCACCCTCCAAAACCAAACCAAAACATAACACCAAACCTGCCTCTCTGCCCCCCACCCCACCTCCC